AGTGATAGTCAAACCAAGCGGGCCATCTGGAAAGTTGGATGGGCGGTGGGAGGCGGTCCCATACATGGTGAAGAGGAGGGTAGACCCTGCCATCCTGGTCTATGAGGTAGAACCAATAGGGACTGGGGGGGCCCTCACGAAACTTGCATATGTTGAGACGTTGTAATTTTGATGAACCAGTGTGCGTGGAGGGGATGGTTCCTCCTGCTCAGAGTACAGAGGAAATCCCCTTAGAGGAGGGGGAGGAATGGTGGATTGTCCCTGCCCTGGTACCCACAGAGGCTCCAACCATAGCAAGTTTGCCACCAAGGGAAAGTGTTGTTGAGCGGTCAGCAGCTCTTCTCCCATTAAATGTGCCTGACGTCCCCAGCGCTTCTGAGCCTGTAACTCTACGAAGGTCAACAAGGCCCAATGCTGGTGTGCTCCCACAGCGCTTTGCCCAGAATGAGTTTGTATGGGGAGGATTGCCGAGGACGACAACCTCTAGTGGGGTGGCATGTGAGATGGGGAAACAGTTCTCATTGTTTGAACACTGTTTGTGTGCAGTAAATTATTGTGTGGAGTAAATTAAATGTGCGGGACTGACATTCTGCGGTTTGGCCACAAGATGCCACTGTTTTCCTAACACAGCCACAGACTGCATAGATATTTCTATATTCATGAAGAGGTGGGGTTTTCACACAGAGTTGAGAGAACAGGAAGAAGAGGAGAGACAGCAGCCATGTTTTTGTGGATGGTGAATGCAGGAGCCGTGTGAGCAGAGAATCTGATGGCATCCAGGTGTGAGGGCATCCCTCAGTAACCAGAGCTGCAGCTAAGTGAAGCTGATCATGTCCAAGACCCTGATCCTGTTTAGAGAAAGGAAGATTGCTGCCAGGAATGCTGATGAGAGCAGAGGAACAAAGCAACATACACTGTGATACCACATGCTTGTTGGAGAGACATTTGTTCTGTTCAGAGTCACCAGCGGATGCAAAGCAGACCCGGGTCGGTGAGATCGTGCACGCACCTCATTTCAGTGTTGGCGCCTAGAGACTGAGGCCAGGCCTATAGTTAATAAGTTAGGGTCTCTGTTTGTGTCAGGCCACAAGTATTTTTACTGATCATTGGAAGGACTCCATAACTTAAAGTGACATTTCACATTGGAGAGCTGATAACATCCCACAAACTCAAGCCAGACTGGCATTTTGCTCAGAAGGAATACTCAGGCACGTGCTACAGGACCAGTTATGAGAGGGGGAATACTGTAGATTTGTGTAAGATTGTAAGCTGTTGTGCTGCACCGCAGGCTAGCCCATACCGTACACCCATACACTGATTCCTGCTCTTTTAGGGTAATAACGGGTAAGGTGTGGTAGCTTAGTTGTGCCCGCCAGTAGGTAAATTACTACACCTTCTACCTTCATCCATCAGGAGGCGCTGTGCTGTGCAGCACAAGGGTCTCAGCCTTTGGGCTGGGTGTATGTAAATTTATTGTATGTTTTCAGCATTTGTGGTTGTGTTTATTTGCCACATCTAAGTAAAATTCTGTTGTGGCAAAAGCTGGTGTTTGGGTTGCTTTCCTCGTTCGTGACTTCACTGTATCCTGGGGAGCCCACCCCGATACATGGCTTACAGGCAGACCTGGACACACACACACATGCTGCCCCTGCAACCATTTGTCTCCTGGACAGGGACTCATATCTGTCTCCTGGATGGAGCAACCTTTCTCCTAACAGGATTCCTTAACTATTGAAATAGGCTAACTTATAACAGATGTGCACACCTGTTCACACATAGCCTGCAGGTGTCCTGTAAGACCTGACCACATGATTAAAGGTTCATTTACACTTGCTTTGACTTCAACACACATTAAAGTGCCTACCACTTCAACATTCTTTTTTATGTGTTTTTGATGCTTCAGTGATGCTTCGATGATTCTTTGGAGATGCTTCGGTGATGATTCAATAATGCTTTTTTGGAGCTTTAACCACTTGCCCTCCTGAGGATTTACCCCCTTCATGATCAGGCCGTTTTGTGCGCTATGGCGCTGCATTACTTTAACTGACAATTGCACGGTCATGCAATGCTGCACCCAAGTGAAATTTACATCCTTTTTTCCCACAAATTGAGCTTTATTTTGGGTGGTATTTGATCACCTGTGCATTTTTTACGCTATAAGCAAAAAAAAGACCAACAATTTTGAGAAAAAAAGCAATATTTTGGACTTTTTGCTATTAAACATGTCCAGTAAAAATTTTTTTTTTTTTTTATATTCCAATGGTTTTTATTAATTTTTAAACATTATAACAGAGGCAATAAAACTTTCCCACGCAGGGGCTATCAATTGCACAGAAAAAAAAAATAAAAAAATAAAAGGAAAACAGTGGTCTAACGCCAACAGGGCAGAAGGTACGCCCACGCAGGGGCTATCAATGGCACATAAGGTACAAAATATTAATGCAACTGACTCTAACAACTAAAGGAAGCTGTCCAGTCACACCAAAAACAGAGAGAGAGAGAAAGGGGGAAAAAAAAAGGGGGGGCCAAAAAGCAGGGGTCCAAGAGTGCCAGTATCGAACGCCATTACATCCCAGGCTAGCAGGGGGGAGTGTGGGAAAGGCATATTGTAACCACGGCTCACATATTTTCAAAAATTTACGGTGGGAGTCGTTGCGGATACTCGACATCTGCTCGTTGAGCATCATAGTAGTCATACAATCCCGCACCCCTTGAAGAGGGACAAACAGACTCTTCCAGGCCTGGGCAATTGTTCTAGTGGCCGATAAAAACAAATAAGAAGCCAACTTCTGCTGGCGAGCCAAGAGGCCCGGTATGGGGCAATGAAGCAAGACATACCGGGCATCCCGGCGTATGGAGAGATGGAACAAGGTGAAAAGGCGGCCAAACACACGAGACCAAAAACGAAACAGTCTCGGGGGCATGACCACCCAGATGTGCAAGACATCTCCATGATGGCCACAACCCCGAAAACATTGATCACTACAGGCAGGGTTAGCCCGGGCCAACCGAGCCGGAACCCAATACCACCGAAACAATACCTTATAGGCTGCCTCCAGTGTGGTCGTATTAAATGAGCATTTAGCTATGAATGACCAGCCCTATTCCAGTCCTTCGGATCCACAGCCACTCCCAGATTGCGCTCCCACTGAACAACATGTGAAAGAGAAGTATGCGACGAGCGTCTGTTCAGAGCTGCATAAAGAAGGGATATAAGGCCAGGAGCGCCCGGACGCTGTTGGCAAAGCTGTTCAAAGGCAGATTTCTGGTACGGGAAAGCAGAAGTGCTCCGCAACAAAAGCAGCCAGTGCCGTAATTGAAGGTATCGAAAGAATTCTGCCGGGGGGACATTCCGCGATTCCTGAAGAGAGTTCCAGGTGGGAAAGGACCGAGAAATCAAAAAGTGTCGCACCTGCGAAAAAACCATTAGTTACCCACCAAGAAAACGCCCCTGGATGATCCAAACCCGGTGGGAAAAGAGGGTTGTTAATAATTGGGAGCAAAGGCAAAAAAGGTGACATCAGGCCACCAGAGTAACTGTCAGGAATGGACTTGCCAGTAATGGTGGGACTCACCTGCCTTGTGGGCTGCAGTACCAGGGCTGGCCAGCGGGTGCTCTCAGCAATCAGAGACTCAACCCTGCAGTCAGCCAAACACCTGAAGCTGATTACGGAGGTGTATTTAAGGGATGGCCAGACCTGCAGTCTGGGCCTTGGTGTGTGTTTTTCCATGGGCCCCTGTATCTTGTTACCTGCATTCCTGTTCCTGTTCCTGCCTGACTGACTTGTTCCTGACCCTGCTTGATCCTGACCTCTGCTGACTTCTCCTGTTTGATCCCTGGCTTGTGACCCCGACCATTCTCTGCCTGACCCCCTGTACCTACCTGCCCGTTAGTTGCTGTACTCGGCTCATGACCTGACTACTCTCTGCCTGCTCCTCCTGTTCCTACCTGCCCGATTGTTATTGACCCGGCCTGCCTGACTACGCTTGCATTGCATGTATTGTTATCTGTGGGTGGTTTGGTTCGTTTGCACTTTGTTTATGTTTTAGTATTGCACTGCGTTTTGTATTGTTAGTATTAATAAATTATATTGTTTATAACATATTTGAAGCCTGCGTTTCCCTGCGTCAGTTCACATACCTCTGGTCATACCCGGAGCCCTGACATTACACCAAGGCCAATCCTGACCAGAAGTGGCTGCACAGAGAAGCCATCTTGGCTTGTTGCTGGGAAGGATGGATCTTGACGAGGTTGTGTATTTGTCGCTGCTGGTTTTTGATGACAGAGAATATGCTTATCAGGCTCTGAGGGAGTATACCCGGTATCAACTGCTAGAATGTATACGGATTGCTCATGTTCTAGTAGATCAGGGCACAGAGTTCTCTGAGGTGCAACCTTTGATTCAGGTTTGTGTAGAGTTGGCTTCATCTGGTACCCCTGAAAGCAGGAATGACTTTTTGCCACCATTTAATGCAGACCAGGTAGAGTCCCTGGTATGGTTATTAGAGGATGATGATGTGGATTGCTTCTTGGAGCATTATGCTGCATGTTCACCACAGGTATTAAGGGATTGTATAAACGCAGTGCAGTCTTTGACCAGACAGGCTTTGTGTAAGCTCAGCTTTGTTCAACCCATACTGCAGACATGGTCAGACTTGTTGCACCCAGCCTCAGTCAGCTTGCAACGTCATTCCTCTGCTCAAGGCACTCTTCCTGCATCCCCGACAGCACCCCCAGTGACGGCCCAGTATACTCTGCTAACTACCACATACCAGTCCCCTGCTCCCACTCGCTGCACCTATCCTTTCTTTGGCCCTGTGGAGAGGTCCTCTGTGGCGGCTGCTCCCTCCTCTGTTCCATCTTCCAGCTCTTCTCTGTCCTCAGCTGCTCCATTTGTTTGCAGACCTGCGTTTACTTGCAGTGCTCCAGTAGTTAAAACCAGAAAAAAAGCGAAAATTCTTTCCAACCAGTACCATCCTGCCAGTATCCAAACCGGTGAGCCTGCTGTCTGAGAACCTGCCTTCCGTGGTTCAGCCTGGTGCCTCGGCACCCGCACTTCAGCCTGATGTCTGTACCCAGCCTGATGTCTGTACCCAGCCTGATGAACTGATCCAGCCTGATGATCCTATCACGCCTGATGACCCAGTGCCCGCTGTCATACCTGGTGACCCGATGCCCGCTGTCGAGCCAGATGATCCAATTCCTGATGACCCAGTGTCCGCTGTCATGCCTGGTGACCCGATGCCCGCTGTCGAGCCAGACGATCCGGTACCTGATGACCCGGTGCCCGCTGTCATACCTGGTGACCCGATGCCCGCTGTTGAGCCAGACGATCCAATGCCTGATGACCCAGTGCCCGCTGTCGATCCAGACGATCCGGTACCTGATGACCCAGTGCCCACTGTCATGCCTGGTGACCCAATGCCCGCTGTCGAGCCAGACGATCCAACGCCAGATGACCCGGTGCCCGCTGTCGATCCAGACGATCCGGTACTGATGACCCGGTGCCCGCTGTCATGCCTGGTGACCCGATGCCTGCTGTCGAGCCAGACGATCCAATGCCTGATGACCCAGTGCCCGCTGTCATGCCTGGTGACCCGATGCCCGCTGTCGAGCCAAACGATCCTGTGCCAGATGACCCGGTGCCTGCTGTCGAGCCAGACGATCCGGTACCTGATGACCCGGTGCCCGCTGTCGTGCCAATTGACTCAGAGCCCACTGTCGTGCCTGGTGACTCGGTGCCCACTGCCTTGCCAGATGACGCGGTGCCCGCTGTCGAGCCAAATGACCTGATGCCTGGTGACCCAATGCCCACTGTCGAGCCAGACGATCCAATGCCTGACCCAGTGCCCGCAGTCATGCCAGTTGACTCAGAACCCACTGTCGGTCCTGGTGACTCGGTGCCCATCGCCTTGCCAGATGACGCGGTGCCCGCTGGTGAGCCAAATGACCTGATGCCTGGTGACCCGATGCCGCTGTTGTGCCTGATGACCCAGTGCCTGCCGCTCCGCCTGGGGGCCCGTGCCTGCCGCCCCTCCTGGGGGTCCGGCACCCGCCGCTCCGCCTGGGGGCCCAGCCGCCCGCCGCTCCGCTCCACCTGGGGGCCCAGTGCTTGCCGCCCCGCCTGGGGGCCCTGTGCCTGTCGCTCCGCCTGGGGGCCCAGTGCCTGTCGCTTCGCCTGGGGGCCCAGTGCCTGCTGCTCCGCCTGGGGGCCCGGTGCCTGCTGCTCCGCCTGGTGGCCCAGTGCCTGCTGCTCCGCCTGGTGATCCGGTGCCTGCTGCTCCGCCTGGTGATCCGGTGCCTGTTGCTCCGCCTGGTGATCCGGTGTCCAGCCCGATGTGCCTCTGTCCGGTGTCCAGCCCGATGTGCCTCTGTCCGGTGTCCAGCCCGATGTGCCTCTGCCGGTGTCCAGCCCGATGTGCCTCTGCCCGGAGTCCAGCCCGATGTGCCTCTGCCCGGAGTCCAGCCCGATGTGCCTCTGCCCGGTGTCCAGCCCAATGTGCCTCTGCCCGGAGTCCAGCCCGATGTGCCTCTGCCCGGAGTCCAGCCCGATGTGCCTCTGCCCGCAGTCCAGCCCGATGTGCCTCTGCCCGCAGTCCAGCCCGATGTGCCTCTGCCCGCAGTCCAGCCCGATGTGCCTCTGCCCGGAGTCCAGCCCGATGTGCCTCTGCCCAGAGTCCAGCCCGATTTGCCAGTCTTTGATATCCTGCCAGTTACCAGACCCGGGCGGTTTTGCCCAGCTAGGACTGTTTGGAGCGTCCTGAGGCCGCTCCTTGAGGGGGGGCGGTACTGTCAGGAATGGACTTGCCAGTAATGGTGGGACTCACCTGCCTTGTGGGCTGCAGTACCAGGGCTGGCCAGCGGGTGCTCTCAGCAATCAGAGACTCAACCCTGCAGTCAGCCAAACACCTGAAGCTAATTACGGTGGTGTGTTTAAGGGATGGCCAGACCTGCAGTCTGGGCCTTGGTGTGTGTTTTTCCATGGGCCCCTGTATCTTGTTACCTGCATTCCTGTTCCTGTTCCTGCCTGACTGACTTGTTGCCGACCCTGCTTGATCCTGACCTCTGCTGACTTCTCCTGTTTGATCCCTGGCTTGTGACCCCGACCATTCTCTGCCTGACCCCCTGTACTTACCTGCCCGTTAGTTGCTGTACCCGGCTCGTGACCTGACTACTCTCTGCCTGCTCCTCCTGTTCCTACCTGCCCGATTGTTATTGACCCGGCCTGCCTGACTACGCTTGCATTGCATGTATTGTTATCTGTGGGTGGTTTGGTTCGTTTGCACTTTGTTTATGTTTTAGTATTGCACTGCGTTTTGTATTGTTAGTATTAATAAATTATATTGTTTATAACATATTTGAAGCCTGCGTTTCCCTGCGTCAGTTCACATACCTCTGGTCATACCCGGAGCCCTGACAGTAACGTACCGAGTCCCAGACTTGTAAGCCATGAAGTAACATCGGACTTAGTGCCATAGGGCGCAGGGCAGGGGGAAGCCATAGAAGCGTCGACATTGCGATAGGGGCACAATTAGGTAGTTCCAACAGGACCCAAAGGGGGACGTCGGAAGAGGCATGCAACATAGACAGTGGGGCAATCTGGCTCACCTGATAATACTTGGTTACATTGGGCACCCCAAGACCACCCTGGAGTCTGTGAGCAAAAAGCGTATTTCTGGATACTCTGGGGTGCTTATTGGCCCGGATAAAACGCATAAACTTCGCCTGAAGCAAACAAAGAAAATGAGGGGGAACCCGCACAGGGAGGGTGCGAAAATAATACAACAATTTCGGCAAGATGGTCATTTTCACCGAATTAACCCGTCCTATCCAATGCAGGTGCGGAAATTGCCAAGAATGCATAAGAGAAGATAAAGAGCTAAGCAATGGATAATAATTCGCAGCAAACAAGGAGTCATAAGTGGGGGTCAAGCGAATGCCTAAGTATTCAAGAGAAGAGGAGGCCCATTTGTAAGGGAAGTGGGATTGTAAAACCAAATCTGAAGCCAAAGTAATATTGAGGGCGACAGTCTTATCCAAGTTGATACGGAGACCTGAAATCAAGGAGAAGCGCTCAAGAACCTGTTGCAAATTAGGAAGTGTCGTCAGGGGGTTGGTAAGAGTCAGGAGGGCATCGTCTGCAAAAAGGTTCAGCTTGAATTCCTGTCCTGCGTAAGGAACCCCCGATACATTGCAATCAGTCCGAAGCTCTAAAGCCAGCGGCTCAAGCGCCAGGACAAAGAGCGCTGGGGACAGGGGGCAACCCTGTCTCATCCCTCGCCCAATAGGAAAAGGATCTGAAAAATACCCAGCGTATTTAACAGAGGCCAAAGGGGAAGAATACAAGGCCTGAATCCAGGAAACAATAGAATCCCCAAAACCCCAACGAGACAGCACAAACCGCAGATATTCCCAGGACAGGGAATCAAAGGCTTTATATATGTCTAAAGACAGTAAAAATCCCGGGATTCTCCACTGTTGCAGAAAATGTATAAGATGGACCACCTTACGAACATTATCACCCGCCTGCCTCCCAGGGATGAACCCTACCTGGTCCCTGTGGACCAGGCTACGCATATATTTGTTGATGCAAAAACTAAGGATCTTGCCCAGTATCTTCAGGTCTTCATTAAGAAGAGAAATGGGCCGAAAGGCGTGAGGTTCCTGTACATCATCGGTCGTCTTAGGAATCATGGCAATATGCGCTCTAAGCGCGTCTGGAGAGGGCAAGGAGCCCTATCGTAGCTCATTAAAATAGTCAGCCAAAAAGGGCGCCAACTGGGTTGAAAATTTCTTATAATATAGACCGGAAAAGCCATCGGGACCTGGGGCCGCGGTAGACCGTAAAGATTTGATAGCTTGGAGCACTTCCGGTACAGTGACACCGGTGTTTAGGGCCACCTGTGCTGCCTCGGATAACCCAGGAAGTCAGAGATCTTGAAAGAATGCCTCTGCTTGAGCCACGGGGAAGGGATCTGGTTTAGCGTAGAGGCGCGAAAGGAAGTCCGAAAAACGGGAAACAATCTGCTGGGGATTAGAAGTACAACCCCTGTAGGAAGTCGCAGTCGAATCGGTTTGTGGGGTTTCCCCACAGAATTGAGCTTCCTGGTCAGCATCAGGCCCGGCTTATTAGCACAGGAATAAAATTTGTGTTTGGTCCAACGCAGGGCCCGTTCCACCTCCGAAGAGGCAAGTAGATCCAACTCTGCCACCAGAACGTCCCGAGCGCGTTTATGGGCAGCGGATGGAGATGACTTCCAAAGCGCATCTGCAGAGGCCAGAAGAGAATGAAGCTCCAAAAGTCGGCGCTCCCGCTCCCGTTTCTGTACCACCGCCAGCTGCATAACATGACCCCGCACCGTGGCCTTATGCGCCTCCCATAGGAGCACAGCCGAAGAGACCGACCCCGAGTTTTCCGCAAAATATGTTCGTAAGAAAAATTCTATTTGTTGGCAGGTAGTCTGAGTGTTCAATAAAGAGTCATTGATGCGCCAATGAAAAGGGCGCCGTTCTGACCCAAAAAGGGCCAGGAGGAGTACCAAAGGATCATGGTCCGACCAGGGTGAGGAGGGAATAGTTATCCGCTGAACCAAGGGAAGCTGCTGAACATGCATGAATATATGGTCAATTCTACAGAAACTGTCATGAGGATTGGAATAGAATGTAAAGTCGCGCTCGGTTGGGTGAAGTTCCCTCCAGACGTCCGCCAGCCCCGCCGTCCGCAAGAGAGAGCGCATACGTTCCTCCAGCACTAAGTCGTGAGAATGGACCGCCCCCCGTGCGTAGCGCCTATCCAATGTAGAATCCAAGGTAACATTTGAATCTCCCAAAACAAGAAGAAGACCCTTGGAGTGTCGGGAAACAATGGTGCAAAGATGCGAAAAGAATTTATGCTGAAAACGATTAGGCGCGTAGTAAGAGACAAAAGTAACCTCCTGGTCCCAAAGGTTGCCTTGCAGAAGCAAATATCTACCTGTGGGGTCCGCTATATTCCTAGCACAGACAAAAGGGAGATTGTATTTGAAAGCTATCAGTACACCCTGACGCTTCTCGGGAGCCGAGGCCGTGTAAAAGGTGGGATAGTGAGGTGAAAGATAACGCGGAGCGGAGGACTGAGAAAACCTGGTCTCTTGCAAACATACCACGTCAATTTGTTGCGATTTGAGGTGATGAAAAACTTTAGCTCGCTTCTGAGGCGAATTGAAGCCTTGAATATTTTGCGAGTGTATTTTTAAAAGGGGCGAGGCCATGGCAGCAGCAGCATAGCACGCTCAACAAAAAAAACATAAAGCAGCCAACAATTTCCACTCCCACCGGCAATCGGACCGTGGCGTCCCGGAACCCTGCATGAAACAAAAACAAAAAAACAAAGAGGAGAAGAAAACAAAAAAAGAAAAGGAGAAAAAGACACAAAAAGTATATACAACAGTGCAATCGTGTCACACCAATGGTGACATGCATCCTACACTCGAAGGATACCAATTAGGGGTGGCTCTACCACCGGACACATGGCTGCAAATGTAAACATCAAGAACATAAACCCTCAGGGGGCAAAAAGACAAAAGGGCAATGAACATAATAGCGTGGGGAACCAAAGAAGGATCCCATGGGTCCCAGGGGCAATGACCTCCGTGATGACCACCCCATAGAATCCCGGAGAACCATGGGGCCTACCGCCTCCCACCCAACCGGGCCTACCAGGTCAACCTCCCACCCCAGAACCCAAGGGAACCAGCACCCCATGCC